TAGCTGATATAACTTAAGACATATTCACTTCGGATAAGAGACATTAATTGCCCACCACAGACGTTTTATAGGCGGGTATAAGCGTGCTTAAGTTGGTCCCGCGCATCAATAATGGCTCGTTCTATAGCCCAGCGGCAGTTAATGTAAGCGGGCTATAGTACTAGAGCTAACCGGAACGTACCATGGTACTAAATACTACTATCTAATATGCCGGACCGTACCTCGCCTACTGAGGCTACGCCATTAACGAGTCTATGGAGTCGCCTACGCTTACTCCCTAACCCTAACCCTAAGGACGTGGATATTCGTCCGAGCATCGGACACCTGTTCGTATGCGCTATTCGTCCGAGCAGTTGTTGCGCATGCGCTGTTCATGTTGTATTACAAAAATGTAATATAATGCTAGTCTAGGGTGGCGCCTACTCTCTAACCCTAACCCTATTCCTAACCCCAGCCCTAACCCTAACACTAACTATAAACCGACTCGGTTCTATTATTATACGCTCGGTTTCGTATATATACGTGAGTGATAGTACCAAACACTATCTATGGTGTATAACCACATACGCAACGCATGTATATGCAGGGGCGTCACAGCCCTAGGGCTGCCGTAGCAAAACGCTACGAGCCCCCAGCCTAAAGGGCATAAAATAGTCAAAAATCGAAAAGGTAAATAGCATTTTAGAGCGTCTAGATTTAAAAATTGTCTGGGGGGAGACTCCCCAGACCCCCCCTTCACACTTCCTACCTACGCCTACGGCACTCATGCCGTGGGCCTGCGGCATGCAACATGAACAGCGCATGCGCAACAACTGCTCGGACAAATAGCGCATACGAACAGGTGTCCGATGCTCGGACGAATATCCACGTCGTAACCCTAACCATATCAGCTAGATAGTTACCAGGGTACGTTCCGGCAGTACCCTGGGGGACATAGACTCTATGACTATGAGCAACAGTAACAGTAGCTCTAGAACTATATAGAGGGTTCCGCGATTTGCACTAAATATAGCAATATTACCTACAATCCTGTGCCGTCGGCCATTTCGATTCCAAAAAGAGCGAACACGTGTTGCGTGTAATCTGCCGATCTGCACAATCAACCGATTTTACATTGGCTATAGTGTTATTATTGCAATAGATATTAGCAGTAAGTGAATCCCGATTTAGCAGACAGGTTTATCAGCTGGGGTTGGGTTAACTGCTAGTTTGATGAGATTGCGCAGGCCCGGTTTTGCAAGCAGGTTTACCATCGTGGTTTTTAGGTGCGAGTTCAATGATGCTGATGCCACACAATCGGCAGATTCGTAGATTGAGCACATCGGAAGATTGCACGCATTGCCACGCAACACATATGTTCATAGACTTGAGTTTGTTTACATCGTAAGAGTTCAGAAATTTCACCGATGTTACTGCATCTATATATTTAACTGTCGCCGTGCACAGCACACGACCCCTGCGTATATCCTTGAACGCAGTGGCTGGAGGTACGGTAGCCGTCGTTCGTTGAAGCCCATTTTTGGCATTAGGGTTAGGGTTAGGGTTAGGGTTAGGGTTAGGTTTAGGGTTAGGGTTAGGGTTAGGTTTAGGGTTAGGGTTCTAGCTCATCTAAACTCTCAAATCGTAAATTTATTTCCCAAGGCGTTATTTCGAAATCTGGCGCCACCGCCGCCATCTTTGTCTCGTTAAGTATGAAAGCGAATGGACTCCCGTACCCGTAGCCTCGAGACACGGCTACCGTACCCGTAGCCACTGCCATTATGGAAACGCTTCAAGTGCCTGTGCTAACAACAGTATAACACCAACGGCCACAGTAACACTAACAGTAACAGTAAATAAAACGCAGTGGCTGGAGGTACGGTAGTCGTCGGTCGTTCAAGCCCCTTTTTTGCGTTAGGGTTAGGGTTAGGGTTAGGATTAGGGTTAGGGTTAGGGTTAGGTTTAGGGTTAGGGTTAGGGTTCTAGCTCATCTAAACTCTCAAATCGTGAATTTATTTCCCAAGGCGTTATTTCGAAATCTAGCGCCACCGCCGCCATCTTTGTCTCGTTAAGTATGAAAGCGAATGGACGCCCGTACCCGTAGCCTCGAGACATTAAGATACGGCTACCGTACCCGTAGCCACTGCCTAAATAAAAACTCATCTTACCTTGTTTGATCCCCGAGCACATATTCCTCGGCCATAACGGCAATACTTCTAATCAGATTCGTGGTATGTACTACATTTTATCAAGCGTCCTTATTATTCTACTGTTGTTATAATAAGTGCATGTCAAACAAATTACAATCATCATCGACATACATAATCAATGAACACATAACACGGGTGTTTACATCCGGGTAGTTTCGTTATTACTAGCCTCCCAGATATAGTACATTATTAGTGATACATATGATGTTAGTTTAACTTTATACTTCTAATAAATGTTTTAATATATTTTGGTGGCTAATAGTATTATAAAAAAGTTGTTATAGTTTTTAGTCTGTGATATATATTGTATTATTATGCTTAACAGCTTTACAATATCTCGTTTGAACAATGTTCTGAAATTTCTACAGTAGCGTGAACTTTGAACTCTGTCATGGCATCCAGGAAGATATCTTTCTGTTGTGTGCGGCATTGGTATTAAACCATGACAAACATTAGACAAGATGACTTCATGTCAGAGTTTCATTGTGGTCTATTGAGAGAATACGAACTACAGCTGCGAAATTTATTGTCGCATCGTGACATTTTAGGGTATTTGAACGAGGTTGGCGCACTATAGTTCCAAACTTTGCCGTCGGGCTTTGTAATTCACCTGGCTAGGCTCGGCACTGGTACTTGGGTTGTGTTGGCTGCTGCTAATACTACGTACTACTAGTACTACTATAGTACTACTACTAGTACTTACAGGTGATGGTTAAACTTTTAATTAAAATTTCCACCGTGAAAGGTTTTAAGCATGTAGTTTTATGTTTTAGCAGGAAAGTCCAAGTATTAAAGTGATACTTTCCCAGGCTATAATTTAACACAGGCACTTGAAGCGTTTCAATAAACTATAATGCTAAATAAATACGAAATCTATTTACTACCAAATTCTTAATGTTTCTAAATTCTATACTCTCTTTCACCTATTATTGCCGACAGTTTCTTGTAAATTTTGTCCAAATCCTGTTTGCAACATACGCTTGCGGCCGCCATTCCTCACGCGGCTGCACTGTGCGCACTTACACTTATATATAGCAGGTAGGAAAGCGTGCTGCCCAAATTCGCTCGACGCTCGCTGGATTTCACACGATTACAACACAAATATTCAACCATTCTACTCCATCTTTGTTTCTATTTCAACAACAGTGTTCACTTGTTATAAAAACGTACTGTCTCTGTTCGTAACTGAGCTGTGTCACGCGAAATCACACAAAGACTGATGAAATTCTCGCGTTTGCTAACGTTGCCCAGTAAATGTAAATGGCTGCAAGTACAGGGCTATATAGACTGGTAGTCCCTACTCGCTCCCACCTCGATTACCCATCGAGTAACTAAGCTAAGCCGAGAGGTGGGAGCGAGTACCAGTCTATGGGCTATAGGCGGCGCACTGCTTTCCAACTCCCGTACGAGCCTCGCCATTGGAGCGTTGCAAAAATGTTGCAGCGTTACGGCGCAAGAATGAGGTCACGAAGAGTGCCGGTGGGTGTTTCCTGATTCTGACAGCCATTTACATTTACTGAGCAACGTTAGCGAATGCGAGAATTTTGTCAGTCTTTGTGTAATTTCGCGTGACACAGCTCGGTTACGAACAGAGACAGTATGTTTTTATAACAAGTGAACACTGTTGTTGAAATAGAAACAAAGATGGAGTAGAATGGTTGAATATTTGTGTTAATTTTGAGCGAATTTGGGCAGCACGCTTTCCTACCTGCTATATATACCATAAGTGTAAGTATGCACGGTGCAGCCGCGTGAGGAATGGCGGCCGCAAGCGTATGTTGCAAATAGGATTTGGACGGAATTTACAGGAAACTGTCGGCAATAATAGGTGAAAGAGAGTATAGAAACATTAAGAATTTGGTAGTAAATAGATTTCGTATTTATTTAGCATTATATTTTATTGAAACTCTTCAAGTGCCTGTGTAATTTAAGACTCGAGTATATCATAATCATGTAGTAAGTGCATAAATAATACTAGCATAGAGCATATACCTACAAATTTCTGATCAAGGATAGTTTGGAACCCAGCATATGTGTTTTCGCATATGTGCTAAACTAGGCTTGGGCCCAAATTTCTATAATCACGCATTCACATTTGTCATAAAACGAAACAGTGAATTTCGAAATCTTTTATTTTGACCGCTGACACAACACCGCGTGATTGTAGTTGTACTGCCAGTCTGCCACCCTGAAAAAGTTGCGCATTTGCCAATTTATTTGGCATGTTACAGACCGAGGGCTAATCACAAAAGTGCAATTATAGTTATACCTAACTGCTATTTAACCGAACGATTTTTATAGACAACAAATCCACAACTATTTATACTAATGTTTTTACAAACTATATTCTTCAACCTCACACAATATTTGCAAAATATTCTGAAAAGTAAAAGATATATATTTATATAATGTAAGCATTGGCCTTATAATATAAAAACACATTTATAGCCTACCCCAGTAGTATAAAAAAAAATCGGTAGCACAGATAAATGTTCTCCATCATTTGAACATTTTTCATTGGATTTAAAAAAAACTCATTTTTAAAGCTATTATGAATAATTGTACTTTGAATGTGTAGTGGAGGGCTGTTCTAAGCCTCAGTTTAAATATAGGTAAAAGACTTCTTTTCATCCCTCTCCACCCTTGGTTTAATAATCAACATCTCCGCAACCTTATTTTTAGCTCACCTTGACATCGTCAAGTTGAGCTATTGCCATGGGTCGTCGTCCGTCGTACGTCCGTCCGTCCGTCCGTCAACATTTGGTTTCGGTCAACGATAACTCAGGAACCGTTTGACCCACATGTTTGAAATTGGGTGTAGTTGTTACTGCTATGCTCCCATATGGAACGTCCTATTTTGAAGCACGCCAGTCGACGTACTTTCGAGCCACGGCAATTTGTTGGCAAAAATGGGAATTGCCATTAGTCAGGGGCAGGTTCAACGGATTTTGCTCATTTTTGGTATGTGCATGAATAAGGGCTAGGGGTTTTGATATTTAAAAAAAAATTATGCAAATTAGGTAGGGTTTGGCAATTATATAGCATATTATATAAACACAAACAGTCTGTGGTGTCACACTCGTCTGGTTCGTTTTACAAGATTTCATTGACAATATCTTTAATGCAAAATTGGTATTTCCTCTCCACTCTGCCGATAAAATGTCTATATTAGAGTAAAGATTTACAAAACATGTCGGAACACAGCATAACCTATTTGTTTCAAGCGCCATCGCTACAAAGCGGGTATAGCGCCATCTACGGTCACATATTGTGATTCATTTTGGTTTATAAATTATTATTGCGATATACAGATGGCAATCGTTTCTATAATGTACGTCGATGGTTGCTCAATTAAGACTGACTTCTTCTTACTCACTCATTTGTGTCCTTTTTTGGTGAGCTACAGTGTCATTGACACTTTCATTTAACTCGTGAATTTCAGAAGTTAGTGTAAATCATTCATTACATTCAATTTTGTAAATAACATTGAGTCATTCTTGTCCTTAAATATCAGATTATCTTTCTATCCAGTAATTACACTAAACAGCTTTCTATGCATGTATATTATTCCGGGGCACTCATACTCTCTTCTTTATGATATACTATATCTGCACGTCTAACTGTGTACTTGCACAATGCCAGTATTTGTGTTTTAAATACGAAAACTTTATTAACATCTATAGAAAGCATCTGAAATTCACTTGATGACCATTGTGTATAATAGTAAATGGGTATACAGGAGTTTAATATGGTTTAGAATATGATATATGGGTTGATATTGCTCCCAAGGAATAAAATTGTTAAATAAGTTTAGTTCACAGTTTCAACTTGCAATGATTGTTATGTACATGTGATGCATGCTGATAACATCTATACTTGTCTTTTGATATTCATCCAATTCTTTTTATGTATTTCGGCAGATATTCTCTGAAGAAGAATCCCAGAAAATATGTAGCGGCGACACCGTGGAAGAGTGCATGAGACGGTTGCTCTGCATCGTATCCACGAAGAATGATAGAGCTTTCGAACAACTAGTCTGTGCAATAGAAAGGGTGGATTGCAATCATCATTCAGCTCTGCCAATCATAGTGCAACAACTTAGACAGAAGGATTGCTTACAAAGAACAGGTATATATATATGTCAGGAAGAGTTTTACAACGTTTAGTCGTTTAGTGCATGCAATAAGGTAGAACACAAGAAAAGTTTCAGTAATGTTTTATATTGGCCTTAGTCCGTGAATTTTTCGCATGCAGATAGAAAGAATTCTGTTGAGACTAAGAATGTTTTTATTCATTGGAATCATTCAGAAGTGACTTTTGAGTTATAAAATATTTTTACAGTGTAAACATATTTTTTGAAATTATTAACTGAGCAAATTACGCTAGTTTTACTATACTGTTTATAAATGCATGGCTCCTACTATTGTGCTTTTCGTATATTTTATTGTGTCAAGTTGTCATGAACTCTTTAGTTTAGTTTTGACAATAGTGATACTTTCTTAAATATAAGCCTATCTGTGATCATGATCTCTATTTAAGGCTATAAGTCCTGCTATATAAGTATAGCCTTAGTTGAATTTGTGAGGGGCTGGAACTTATGGACTCCTACCCCTGGTCGTAAAGCAAGAGTGTTCTTCCTGTAGTTGGTCAGATGTGCCAAGGTTCTTCAAATGTAACCTGTGGTAATATCAGGAGTGTATAATATAGAGATATATTACAGGGGTAGAAATTGTCTTTTGAACAAGGAAGTCCAACGGACTCCCTGCCCTCAAAAAGAGGGAGTCCGCAGTCTAAAGTTCAAAACTAAAGATATTAACAATAACGCATAAATGTGCTTATTTTGAAGATTCATGCGGTTGGACATTTGCTGAAAAAATACGGGAATTTCGTGAGGCCGTGCTCTGGAACGAACTTAGTTAATATAGCAGAATTTTCAGGGAGTCACTGACTCCTGCATATGTCAAATCAGGGAGTCCGACAGTAAATCATGGAGTATTTGACTCCGGACTCACGTTAATTTCGCACCCTGTATTATACACACCTATATATCCATATCCTATCTACACTCTCTATATTATACACTTCTATATCTCTATATTATACACTCCTATATCTGTATATCCTATCTACACTCTATATTATACACTCCTATATCTCTATATCCTATCTACACTCTCTATATTATACACTCCTATATCTCTATATCCTATATATACACTCTATATATTATACACTCCTATATCTCTATATCCTATCTACACTCTATATTGTACACTCCTATATCTCTATATCCTATCTACACTCTATATTATACACACCTATATCTCTATATCCTATCTACACTCTATATTATACACTTCTATATCTCTATATATTATACACTCCTATATCTCTATATCCTATCTACACTCTCTATATTATACACTCCTATATCTCTATATCCTATCTACACTCTATATATTATAAACTCCTATATCTCCATATCCTATCTACACTCTCTATATTATACACATCTATATCTCTATATTATACACTCCTATATCTCTATATCCTATCTACACTCTATATATTATAAACTCCTATATCTCTATATCCTATCTACACTCTATATTATACACTCCTATATCTCTATATCCTATCTACACTCTATATTATACACTCCTATATCTCTATATCCTATCTACACTCTCTATATTATACACAC